GGGACTTGCCTTGAAGGAAGTTATATGAGCTGTAACCCGAGCCAGGAACGGGGGTGGGGAGAATTAACACCTTCTGCCCGGGAGACTGAACAAAGGAGAGGAGCAGCGGGAGGGGTTTTGAGTTTAGTTTCGGTTGGGGCTGGGTGGTGCAACGCAGGGAACCCCAAGCTGGGGTCTAAGCTCCCTGAACCTCCCAGAGGGACCTAATTGAGGGGGTCTGGTCGTACCTACACGCTCTGCTTGAGACTGTGTTCCTGTCCTTAAATAAACCTTCTGCTTTACTGGCTGGTTGAGAGTCGCAGTGAATCTCGGGAAGAGGGGTGCAGGGCCCTAACTCCCCCACAATCCGCAACACACCTGCATCCCCATCCCCCCGTACCGCTCCCTGCAACCCATTCCCCCATACCGCCCCCTGAACCCTCACCCCGCCCTGCCCCCCGTCTCTGCCCCCCTCACCGATGGCCAGGGTCTCGAACTTCATGGCCAGCTCCTTTATGTCCGCCGCCTCCTGCTCGTCCAACTCTTGGTGGGAGAGTTCCCGCAAGATCCGCGCCCCCACCAGCGCCCCCATCACCGCGTCTGGGGCCTGTGGAACAGAGGGTTAGAGAGAGACACCCCCTGAGACCCCCAGATATGCGCCCCCACCAGCGCCCCCCCACACCCTGTTCCTCCTTCCTCTGGGGGTCTCCCCCTCCACCCAGCATTCCCCAGCTCCCCACCCCCCAGGGGTCTCCCCCCGCACCCCCGGGCCCCCCTCACCATCTCCCAGCAGTACGTGGCCATCTCGCCCCGGTTCAGCAGCACGGCCCAGATGAAGAGGTGGGTCCAGGGGTTCTGGGGGCGACCGCCGAGGTCGGTGGGGTCCCCGTCCAGCAGGAGACCCTTCTTCTGGAAGGGGGAGGAAAGGGGGGAGGGTCAGAGCCATGTGGATGGGGAGACCCCTGCTGGCAGCCCCCCATCTTCCCCCACCTCCCCCTGAAACCCTCAGGGTCCCATCCCGGCCTCCTGCCCCCTATGGTCCCCCTGGGACATTCTGAGTGTGAGATAATATCTCACGGAAAGGGGACAGGGCCGGAAGGAGGTTTCAGTCACTCCCAGCCGGGTTCGGAAGAACTGGGACTGACCAGAGGTTGGGGATACAGCCGGCTTTGTTCAGAGCAAGGGGGGCTGTTTGCTCAGGGCTCGGGGTGTCAGCAAACCAGGGTTGTCTATTGCTACAGCTTTGCGTCCAAGTTCAGAACAGGAGTCGGAGGATTTAGGAAGACACTTGAGGGAACTGGTATTATTGTCTCTCGGGCTCTTGGCAGGATGTGGTAACCGTAGCTGAGCTGTTCAGTGGGTAAATGACCCTGTGCTAATTCCAGGATGTTTGGGAGAGGGTAAGTGAAGCCGCTTGTATTCTCGGGCCGAAAGGCTGCAGGAAATGTATAAAAACCCGGGACACGATCCTGCTTCATCTCAGATCCGCTTTGGGTTTCCAGAGGGGGGAACCCTGAGCCAGAAGGATCGAGATCCCCAGTCGCTGACCGGAGTCGTCCCGAATACGGACATTGGACCGTAACCCATGGACTGTTTCTAAAAGGACTTTTGGCGACTCCGAGCTCCTCTCTGCCCTGTACCTGAACCTCAAGAATTGAATTCAATCTGTCTCTACAGTGAGCGTTTAACCAACGCGCCCTCACTTTTCTTTTTTAATACATGTTAGTTTAGTTAATAAGGCTTCGCTATCAGCGTGTATTTGGGATACGGTCTAAGTTTTATATTGACCTGGTGTTTCCTCTGAATACTGTGTGGGTGCCTCAGTTTCCCCTATGCATTTCTTAAGTCTCTAGGGGGTGTGATTGTTGCAGAGCAAAGGGCCAGTGTGAATAAATGGCCGACACTCTGTCTCCTGGCAACTAATGGCCGGGGCCCTTCCCCCCTGCAAGGGGATGCTAAAGGTGTTGGAGAATAAAGAGATCAGGTGACCTCCTGGCCCGGGAAAGGAACAAAGCAGAGAGGAGGGGCTGGAGGGAGGTTGAGTTTGGGGCTGGCTGGGGACCTGGAGTGAGGTGCAGACGGGGGTGTCTGGCTCACTGCCCCCCAAAATGGACCCGGCAGAGGGGTCCTGGTCTCTGTACCTACAAGCTCTGTTTTAGACCGTGTCCCTGTCGTCTAATAAACCTCTGTGTTACTGGCTGGGAGTTGGGGGGCAGGACCCTGTGGCTTCCCCAGGACCCCCCCCCGGGCGGACTCGCTGCGGGAAGCGCACGGGGGGACGGAGATGCTGAATGCTCCGGGCTCAGCCCCAGGAAGGTGAAGCCGTGTGAACTCCTTGCCCGGGGACAGTCTGCTCCGAGAGACAAGGCTCCCACCAAGTCCTGCCTGGCTTCGTAGGGAGCAGTTCCCGAGCGTCACCCGGGGACTCCGTGACAACTGGGTGTATGGCGGGTCCTTTGGGATCAGAAGAACCTTTTCTTTTATAGGATGAGAGAAGATTTTCAGTCAGCATCATCCAATCTGACGTGTGTCTGGACGGAGGCCGGGCGCTTGAAGGGAACTGCAGGGTTTGGGTTTCTGAGGAACCGGGGAGGTGATGCGGAGGCTGTTTGGGGCTGGTGGGTGAATCTAAGTATTGGAAGATCCACCAGCGTTTGGGGTTTGTCTGCCCCGTTCTGTTTGCAGTTCACCCTGATTGAGTGACCTCAGCTGGTTCCCACGGGCAGCACCGTCACCCCCATACATATCCCTGCCCCATTGTGCCCCCCATCTCATTGCACCCACATACCCCAGTCCCCCATCATACTTTGGACCCCTTGGGTCCCCGGCCTGCCCCCACCAAGTAACCTGGTCCCCCCAGGTACCCCAGGCCCCCCTGTGTATCCCTCCTCCCACATCCCTGGCCACCTGGCCAGCCCCACCAGACCCCCTGTGCACTCCCTCCTCCCACTTCCCTGCCCTCTTTGCCTTCCCAGCCAGCCCCCCAGACCCCTGTTCTCCCCTCCTCCCATGTCCCTGCCCCCCTTGACCCCCACATACCCCAGCCCCCTTGGAGTCCAGGGGGCACAGCTCAGCATAGAAGGGGTTGCAGATGCAGACGTCGCCAAGCATTTCACGGAGCAGACAGTTCACCTGGGTCAAGTGCCAGTCGGGGGGGCGCTCCACAGGCTGGTAGTGGGGGGACTCAGCCCCACCCTGGCGCCGCTCCAGCAGCTGGTGCAGCAGCGAGGCCTCGGGGACCTCCCGGTACAGCTCCGCCAGGCACCCCCAGGTCAGGAACTCGCCCAGGTCCAGCCCGTTCTCCACGAACAGACGCACCAGGGCCGGGCGGTCCCCCAGCAGCGCGTCCCGCATGGGCTTCTCCAGCTGGGGGGGCTGCGGGGCGGGGGGGAGAGAACCCAGGTTAGTACCTGCCCTGTGAGCACCAGCCCCCCCCAGGAGCCCCCGAGGACCCTCGACCCCCCCCAGAGTGTCCCCCCCACCTCTGTGCTGGCTCCCCACCTCCCCTCTCAGCTCCCCATGGGGGTCCCTCCTCCCCCTGCCCCCCAGAGCTCCCCTCTGCTCCTCTCCTGGGGTCCCCCCTCCCCCTGCTCCTCCCTCCGGGGTCCCCTCCCTGCCCCCCCTCACCTCCCATTGGATGTCTCCACGGAAGAGCTCGGAGCTGGCGAAGTCCACATGGTTCCAGGCCACAGCCAGACGCAGCTCATCCAGGTACCGGGTGGCCTCACCAGTCAGGTGACCGCCTGTGGAGGGGAGGGGGATGGCTGGGGTAGCTGTGTGACTCAGTTTCCCCACCCAGGCAGCTAGGGGAACCAGAGGGGGGGATGGCTGGGGTAGCTGTGTGACTTGGTTACCCCACCCAGGCAGCTAGGGGAACCGGGGGGGAGGGGATGGGGGTGATAGCTGTGTGACTTGGTTTCCAGAGCTGGGCAGCCTGGGGGCAGTGGGGAGGGCTCAGCCCAAAGGCAGGCCATGTCATCAATGCGGATTGAATGCGTCCACACGGGGCTCAGTGGGTAGCCAGTGATCTGCGCTGAATCCGAGCTGGGGTCTCTGGTGTGACGGGCCGACCCAGGGGACTCCCCCTCCCCCAAACCAGGAGGACAGTCGCTAGGCCCAGCTGCTGGGGGGGGCAGCCAGCCCCATAACCATGATGACTTGGGGGGGGGAGCGAGGGGCAGGAGGCCGGCAGCGGGGCAGGGTGAGGAGATCCCAGGGGGAAGAGCATGGGGGGACTCCATAGGGGACTGGGGGGGGTCTTACCTCTGACCAGGGCTTTGAGCAGCACCGTCTCAAACTCCTCCAGCCCCTCCTCGTCTGAATAGACAGTGACCAGGTCCCGCAGTGCCAGGATCCGCTCCACCTAGGGGGGCAGGTCCGACACCCCGTGACCCCCCCGAACCCCTGCACCCCTCTCCCCACAGCGCCAGGATCCGCTCCACCTCGGGGGGCAGGTCCGGCACCCTGTGACCCCCCTCAACCCCTGCACCCCTCTCCCCACAGCGCCAGGATCCGCTCCACCTCGGGGGGCAGGTCCAGCACCCTGGTGACCCCCCCCAAACCCCTGCACCCTCCGTCCCCCCAGCACCAGGATCCGC